AGTGAGCACATTCAAGTGGATTCACCATACCTTATGATCACCATCTTTGATCAATTGGTTCTACAGAGAATTGGCTTGAAAACAAGGAATTTATGTTCTCTAAATTAATTTTTCCCACAGAACTTCCTGGAGTATTTTGGGGAACAAAGGCATTTTATTTGATCAATTTTCCCTTCAGAATTCCATAGACACAATTGAGTTATTTCACTATTCCTATGTTTTTGTCACTCTTAAGATACTAAAAGGTAACTGGGGATGAGAATATATTAAACTGATGTGCTTATTATTCTTTATTGCAGTTATGTTCCTTAAATGAGAAAGGTACCTAGAGAAGTCTACTTTATTTCACGGGCTGTTGTGGAAAAATAAGGTATATCTTTCAAAAGGATTTTGGTAATCTGATTAGTGTATAGGTAGGAAGTTTTTGGCAACTGGGCAGGTCAGCAATGCTAATCATTGTAAATTCTGGCAAATAAAGGAAGGGGATCAAGGTGCCTTAGCTTGTTCTGGTGGTGTCAGACGGCTTTGATAAGCAGCAGTAGAACAAAGAATGTTATCGTGCTTGAGAGCAAGTTTTAGTCAATTCATTTTTGCGTGTGTTGCAGAAAGCTGTTGATTAAAGGCTAAGTGGTTAAAGAAAGTCATTATCTGGTACTACCATGTACCATACCAAAATTCTAGCTTTTTAACTTTGCAAACTAAAGTTTGTGCAAGTATCCATGTATTTTCTGATAGGTGTAACGATAGTCCCAGTCACTGAAACTCATGGTAAACACTGCTAAAGAAGCCACAAAATCAACTTAGTCCCTGCGGTAACCTAAGTGCATGAGTGAAAAACTGGTGTCACCTCTTCTGCCCCTGAAGAAGGCTTCAGACAGCTCTGTGATACGCAAGAGTTGGATGTTTCAAAAGTGATAAAGTAGTCCCTAAAATACTTGTTCCTTGCTAATGAAGATATACTCCACACGGTTGTGCATAATGAGAGAAACCGCAATGAAGTGAAAGTGACCTCTACATTTATTACAGAGCAAAAACTTACTCTCCTTCCCATGCAGGCAGGCGCAAAAGGAGGGAGGCAAGAGCAGGAGCTACAGAACCTTTCTCCATTTCTATTTTTTTCATGCAGGAAAGGAGAAAAGAGGTCCAGTTCTCGTGCCTGCTTTCCTAAAGTCACACTCTAGCCACATCCTATCAGCACACACTGCCTGCAGTCAGTATTTGCAAACCAAGCACCGGAGGAGGTGAGGAGGAGACCATTTGAGAAGAGAAAAAGGCGAGGCAGCAGTATGCAGGAAACAGGTTAGTTTAGATCAAACGGTCTTATACCACAGCAGAAAATGAGCATTTCCCTGTGTCATAACCAGACAAGCAGATTTACCTGGAAGGCCTTTTGGTTTTGATTTCCTACTGGCATCAGCTTTGCTGTATCTTCATTAAATGCTTCTAACGCTATACTTTTCTGGCAATATTGGGAAGGTTCAGGGGGTCAATATCACTATCCACATCCTGTGTTTTACTTTCTTTTGGTGTGGAGGCTATTTA